TCGATATACAATATCCATTGCCGCTTTTAAGGATGAGATTTTATTTTGGAAAAATCAAGGTTTTATCCCAAAGACCATATCAATCAATAATAATAATAATAATAATAATAATAGTAAAAATAAAAACTCTATAAAAGAAAAGGAAAAGGAAAAGGAAAAAGAAAAAGAAAAACCAATAAAAGAAGATAGGAGAAAAGTAAAGAAATTTGAAAAAGAGAAAGAAACAATCAAAGGAGATAAAAAAACTACAGGCAAAGAAAAAGAAAAGGAAGAATTACAAAAAGAAAAACTATTAAAGAGCAAAATAATAAATAATAATAATAATAATAATAATAATAATACTAATAATAATAATAATAATAATAATAATAATAATAATAATAATAATAATAATAATAATAATAATAATAATTCAAAAGACATATTGGATAATGAATGGACAGAAGAAGAAATAAAAAAACTTAATGAGATTAGAAGAAAAACTTTAACTGAAAAAGTAAATATGGATTATTGGGACAGGGTTGCATCTAAAATTGGTACTAAAACTGCGGAGCAATGTCAAGCTAAAGAATCAAGCAAATTCCAAACACCAGCTAAAAAAAAGAAACCATCAGAAACAAAGATTACTTCATCGCCGATATCACTAGGAAAAGCATCACAAATTAATACATTAAAGTTTAAAAGGAAATTAAGAGAAATAAATGAAAAGGTATGAAATCTAAACTATAAATTAATCTCAATGTTACTAATGTTTATTTTCATTTTTTTATAGAATACATTAAAACCAAAAGAAAATCTTTTTAATGCGACACCATTTAAAAAAACTAAAAAGGTATCATATGTCGAACAAGAGGAAGATTCAGATTTTGAAAATTTATTTGACAATAATGATGAAGAAATTGAAGATATTTTTAAAACCACAAATAATAATGTAAGATTTATTTTATTTTAAAAATATTTAAATTTTTTATTAATACTTTTGTTTTAAAAACAAAACAGAATCTGAAAAAAGATGATGATGATGATGATTCAAAAAAGATTGATAAAATTCATTGGGACCGTTATATTAACATGAATGGAAATGTAAGTAGTTGATAATTAATATTAATATATATAAAAAGGGGCAAAATTTTAATTTTTTATTTTTTTAAATCGAATAGAAAAAACCAAAATTTTTAAAAACTAAAAATAATAATAACAATAACAATAATAATAATAATAATAATATAATGAATAAACTATTAGCAAAAGAAGAAAATCAAAAATCTACCAAAATTATTGAAAAAATTACAAATCAGTTAGACGAAAAACAACAAGAGGATGGTGAAGAAGAAAGTATAGATTATTATTTCACAGATTCCGAAAGTGATGAAGAATTAGATAGTATATTTTGTTAATCTCAATAATGTGTATCACTTTATAAATACTTAAGAATCAAAAATAAAAGAAAAAAATTGTTTTTTTTATTTAAATAAAGTTTTATTTAAAAATAATATTGCAATTTATTAAACCAAAAACCAGCGCTTTTTTTTTTTTTTTTTTTTTAAATTTTTTTTTATTTTTTCAAAATTTTTTTTTTTTATAAATTTTATTCATTTTAACAAATTAAAATTCATATTTATTTTTAATAATTTTAATCGTTCATATTTCATTTTTTTGTACATAAAATATAGTTTACTATGACAAGTGAACAACAATCATATTATGAACTAAGACAGCCACCATCCGATGGTATATCCTCTGTAAATTTTTGTCCATATTCTGTAAATCTATTAGTAACTTCTTGGGATAATGTAAGTAAAAACAATATTTTACTATTATTATTATAAACATATAAAACTAGTTTTATTAATATATTTTATAGACTGTTAGATGTTATGATACACAAAATAATGTACAGAAATGGCAATATACACACAAAGGACCAGTTTTGGATGGTTGCTTCCCAGAAAAAACAAAAATATATTCATCAGATATTTTTGGTGGAATTAAACAATATGATCCGGTAAGCGGGGTTGAAAAAGAGATTGGAACACATAAAAAAGGAGTAAAATCAATTGTATATAATATAACGACACAACAACTATATTCAGGTAGCTGGGATCAACATTTAAAAGTATGGGATACACGTAGCGATACACCAGAAATCAGTTCACACAATTTAGAATCAAAAGTTTATACCATGGATTGTTCATCCATTAGCAATATGTTAGTTGTGGGTACAGCTGATAAATATATAACAATTTTTGATATTCGTAAAATGGATATGCCACTACAAAAAAGAGAATCCTCAATCAAATATCAAACTAGATGTATAAGATGTTTTACCGATGGTAAAGGGTATGCCTTGGCCTCAGTTGAAGGTCGTATCGCTATGGAATATTTTGATCCTTCTCCTGCTGCCCAATCTAAAAAATATGCATTCAAATGTCATCGTCCAAATGAAGGTGGTGTGGATGTTGTCTATCCTGTAAATTGTATTGCCTTTAATCCCATCTATGGTACATTTGCAACTGGTGGTTGTGATAAAAATGTTTTCTTTTGGGATGGTGCCAATCGTAAACGTTTACACTTTTTAAAAACTTATCCAACTTCAATTTCATCAATGTCTTTTAATTCTGACGGTAATATTTTAGCTGTTGCTTCATCATATACTTTTGAAGAGGGCGAGAAAGAGTAAGTAATTTTATTTTATTTTTTTATATTAATTTGTTTTTTTATCTATAAAAGAGTTTAGATTTTTTTATTACTATTTATTTTATACAAATAATTATTATTTATTATTTTATTGTTATATATAACACCATATATCATTATATGCAATTATCTTTTAGATTCAAACATTTATAAAACTAATTATTCTTTCAATTTTAATAATACAAAAACTAATATTTTTTTTACTTTATTTGTATATAGCCACCCACCAGACCAAATTTTTATTCACCACATAAACGAAAATAAAATTAAACCTTTTGAAAAGCCACCTCAAAAATAAAAGTTATAAATAAAATAAAAACACTTTTTTTTTTTACAATCTCTTAAATTATACACAACACAAATTTTTAAAAATAATAAAAAAAATAAAATAAAAAATTTTTAGAGATAAAAAATAATCTTTTATAATTAGGATTAATGTTATTATTTTTTAAACTGTTAGATCCTATAGTTTATTTATAATTTAAACTATTTTTTTTTTTTCTTTTTTTTTATAATTCACAATAGTATTTAAATAATTTCATTATTGGTTGTTATTTTAACTTTATAGAATAAACAAAACAAATAATTAAATTATTTATAGTTTTTTAAAAAAAATGAAATTAAATACTTTTTTTTTAATAATAATATTTATTAAATTGGTAAACTCAAACGAATATATATATGGCGCAGATAATAAAAATGATATTAAAGTTATAGACCCTTTTAATTATGACTCAAGGGAAAATATTATTTTTAAAAGAATTATAGACAATACTCACTTAGATGTGTTTGGAGATGATAATATGAATAACCCTTTTCATGGACTTCAATTCCTTTTAATATGGCAAAACCAGACTGGAAGATTATATACATCAAAAAATGATCCGATAATTAAAAACTACTCTTGGTGGGGGTGTATGAACTATTATTTTTCTGTAGTTCCATATTTATCTGCCAATAAATTTAACCTAGTTCCTCATTTAGATTTCAAATTCACTTTTAAAAACAACTCTTTATTTTGTTCCAAATATGAGGAGTGCGATAAAAGGATGATGAAAATATGGGATGATTATTTCGGAACTATAAGTAAAATTAAAAATAATAATGAAACAAAATCATATTCTGCTGAAGAATTATTATCAAAAATGTGGAGAGGCCATCAAATAGGTGTAGAAATGGGTTCGAAAGCATTTAAACAAATTCATGAAAACTCTTTATCTAAACCAGAAATGATACTCAGTAATGGATGGTTAGCTTTTGTAGAATTCCTATTGACACTAAATTTAAATACAAACAAAACCAATATATTTAGTTTACAAAAATCATTACCTCATAGGGTTTTAAATGATAATGATATATATCCCCCATCAATTAAAGATTTTACCTATGACCAAAAAACCTTTACAAGTATGATATATACTATGCATTATATATCAATTAATAAAACTATTTATAATATAACACTTAAGTTTTTACAAATGGTTTCAAGTAATGAAAATTGCAGATTATTAATCAATAATAATATTAATTCATTTTTGAATTTTCCTTTCAGTTCAATATTAATAGTTTTAATAAAGATAATTACGAACACTTGTTAATTTAACACGATTTAAATTAAAAAATTTATATGAGCATTCAATAAATTATTTTATTACTTTAATATTAGATTATAAATTTAATCTAATTTTACAAAAAAAAAAATTATAATCGATTATCTTTTACAACAAAGTAAAAGAGTACTATTTACAGTTTTGTATTATTATGTTGATTTTAAATAAATAAATTAGGTGAGTTGTATATATATTTATGGTAAGGTGTTCATTCTTGATGATGGTGGTGGCTTACGAGTTTTCCACCAGAAAACGACTCTTCCATGACGAATTCTTTTATTGATAAAGAATCCAGCCCCTCCTGCGATAAGAACTGCACCACCTGCTACAGTTGCTGAAATGATAATTGTATTTTTGTTACTCTTATTTACCTCTTCTAAGCTTGGGTCAATACCACCATAGGTAGTATAACCTGTGGCTGTGGTTGTTGCGGTTGTAGTGGCTGTTGTAGTGGCTGTTGTAGTGGCTGTTGTAGTACCTGAAGTGGCCGAACCAGATGTTCCAGGGTTTGAACCACCTGTTGTCAAAAAAACTGTAGTTGTTGCTGTAGTTGTTGCTGTAGTAGTTGCTGTAGTAGTTGCTGTTGTGGTTACTGTGGTTGTAAAAATTGGTGGGTAGTATCCAGTTGGTGACTTTGTTGGTTTTGGTTTATAATTATTTAATAAGACACCAAAATTGGTAAAATGTGGGGTATTTACCAAAATTGTATTTCTTGATGTTAAAGTGAGTGTACCCGAAGCTTCGCAAACCCATTGATTGTTTTGAGTATTGATATAGTATAAACAATAATTATTTAAATCCAAATTTTGTGCACCTGGTATTTTTAATTCAAAAGTAACTGGAATATTAAAAATTGGACTAAGGATATTTTCTAGTGAAACGTCGAAAATCATTGATACAGCAGCTTCTCTAAATAAAGAAATTTCGTTTTCTATTCCCCAAATGGAATCTCCATCAACTGAATCCAAGTATGAATCTTCAGAGTAGGTAATTTGTAAATTTTTTAAAGCTCCACCAGGAATATAACCACTTGGAAGATTAACATAACCGTATATATCTAAAGCATTTAAAGCACTATTTTTATAAACTATTGGTACTGTAATATCCTTTAATGAATGAACTGGCGAAATAGATAACTCTGGTCTATATATTGTTGGTGCTAACTAAAAATTTTTTAAAAAAATTAATATAAATATATCTTGAAAACTATGTTTCTTTTTTATCGACTTACATTTGCAGTACAATTTATACCAGGAGCACAGCAATCATACTTATTTAAATGACATGATCCATCACCACATTGGAAATAATCAAATGGACAACCGTAGTATGATGTACCTGGTTGTGTGCAAGTTACTGTATTACAATCTATATCCTGGCAACTTTCTATATCTGAGTGACAACCATCTAAACAACGAATTTCACCAACTTGACATTTTGGTAATGGAGATGATGGACAATTTGATAAACTTGAAGCACACTGACCATTTGGACAAACCACACCAACACAACTTTCAAGTCTTAAAACGATCATTTTATCATCACACATATATTGATAAGTTGAAGTTGAGCCATCCACAAGGATTGGAGTTGGAGTTAGACCATTACAAACAATATTGTCGGCTGATGATTGAACAAAAACCAAATTTGTACTAAGTATACCATCTAAGAGAGAGATATCGATGGAGGTGTGTAATTTCAATCCATTTAGTACATTTAAACTTGCATCAACTCCAATCGAGAGACGATTTGGAAGTTTTAAATTAACCAAATCAAATACCAAGTTATTTATAGTAAGATCTACATTTGAAACCAACAAGTCATTAAAAGTGTTTGATGCAATATCAAAGACATTACTTAATGATAAAAGACCACCTTCTAATTCCATTAAACCCTTTGTACTTGATAAAAAAGAAATTGAGTTTGTAATTTTTAAAGTTGAATCTTTTAATAAAAGTTGACCAGACTCTACCAATAAACTTTTTATATTCAAACCCAATTGAGTGATTTTATTGACTTGATTTGGTATTCTTAAAGAGCCAATAGATTTAATTAAGCCACCAAGTGATTGTAACTGATTATTTAATTTGTAAACGATATTGGACGAATTTCCAACTGAAAGAACAGCACTAGCTCCTAATTTTAAAATACCACTACCACTTGAAAATGTTTGAATTGGCTCGATCGATGTAGAAAGAAGGTCTAGAACCCCATTAACAAGAAGAACCTGACCGGCTGTTGGAAGAGAAATTTGTGAATTTAATAATGTACCATTAACAATTGATACTAAACTATTAGATAAGGTTATAACACTATTAACTGAACTAATAAGAGGTATGTTTAGTGCTTTATCTAATTTTAATTGTGAATTATTAATATTTAAATTTTGAAGTGTTGACGATGCTATACCCAAAACATTGGATAAATTATCTAAATTTAATGTATTTAATAAAATATCGGGTATGTCTATAGCTGATGCAGAGTTTTTAACTGAAAGAGTCGATATTGAAACATTTGTTCCAATTGAAAGTAAATTTGAAGCAGTATTTCCAAAATTGACAGTAACCCTATCAATACTTGAAACGATATTTTGACCAATATTTAATGTAAATTGAGTGGCTTTAATGTTAAGCTTTGGTAGCTCCAACCCTTCGTAACCCATCTCGGTGATTTTAGTATTTAAAACTCCGGCCTCAACAGAGAGTGAAGAATTACCACTTGAGTCCATGAAAAACAATGAGAGACCTAGATTTACTGGAGTTGTTGTTAAAAATTGAATTGATGCTCCATTCTTTATTGTAAATTTGCAACCAACATTAAGGACAAATCCACTTTCTATTACCAAAACACCACCTAATAATTCGACCTCGGAATTACAATTAAATAAATTTGTGACGGTTAAAACACTATTTACAACCTGGACTAAATTACCTGAAGTAGATAAATCTGAAAAGATTTGAGCTACCGAGACGAGCAATGGCCCTTCCAAAATACAAATTAAATTACCAATAATACATAAAGATTCTGATAAATTTATTGATAAAACTAAAATTAACAATATTATCAATATATTTTTATTATTTATCATTTTTTTCTAATTTTGTTATATTTATATCATTATATTTATTATTTTAACTTTTGTACAATTATTTTTTAATTTGAAATAATAAAGAAAATATTAACAATATAAATTTTTATATTCTATAAAACTATTTTGAGTAAGAAAAAAAAAACTAATTAATAAAATGTATTTAAATTTAAATTAATAAAAAACGAGTTTTTAAAATTTAAAAAAAAAATTGATTACATTAATGGTTATTTTTTTTTATTTATTTTGGTGCTGTGTTATTGTTGTATATACTTTTTATTTTTATTTTTATTTTTCTGTGTTGATGATTAATGATTTTATTTTTTTATTTTTTTTTTGTATTGATGATTAATGATTAATGATTTTGTTTGTGTAAAAGATTATTTGGTGATGAAAATCTTTACATTCACACACATCAACAGGCACATTTTTCATCACATAACACACAAAAAAAAAAGAGAAAAATAAAAAAATAAAAAAAAATAAAAAAAAATAAAATAAACACACAAAATAAATTTATCATACATACACAATATTTTTATCTATAAAATAGAATAATAAATTATTACTATTTATTATTTTAAATAATAATTATTTTTAAAAAAAAAAAAAATTTATTTAAGAAAAAAAAAAAAAAATTATTAACATATTAATATTTTACTATTATTTTATTATTTTTATTTTTTTATTACTATCGCTACTATATTAGTATTATTATTATCACTATTTTATATTATTATAAAAATAGAGAAAAAAATTTTGATATGATTATCTCTATCTCTTTGGTTGAAATAATAGTAAAAATAGCAATAAAAAAAAAAAAAATAGACAAATTGGTGCCAGTATGACGATATTATATTGAGTATGTGAATATATAACGATGTTTATGTTAATATTGGTTATTAAAAAAAAAAAAAAAATTATTTGGTTTGATTTAAATAAAAAAACAAAATGAAAAAAAAATTTTAAAATCAAAATTTAATTTAATTTAAAAAATAAAAAGTAATTTTGGTATTTTTAATAATGTTACCATATTTGAGACAATTATAACTTTTTTTTCTTAAAAATATAATTTTATTTTAAAATTGCTTTAAATGTAAATACTGTGGTGAATAATAGATATATAAAAATAACCACTTTGGATAAAACAGTTTGTATTGTCATTGTTTAAAACTTTTAACATGAGAAATATTTATGTATTTTAGGATGGTTATAAATTAAGTCAAATGAGGTGTGTGAGTTAAGATGGTGGTGGTGGTGGTGTTAAAATTGAGTGGGGTGGTTGATGTTAACTTTTTTTAATACATGTTACATATAAATCTTAATTTTTTTTTTTAAACGATAAAAATATTATTTATGATTATAAACACTATTCAATAATACATCTTGATGACCAACTTACTCCAACTATCTAATGTAGAATATTATAAAATAATAAATACCAATTTAAACTTGAAAAAATAAATATAGTAATATAATTATAAAAAGAAAAAAATGTTTATATTTTCGAAAATATAAATATAGAGAAATTTAAATACGTATTTTTAAAATAAAAAAATGGAAAAGAAAAAAAAATAAAAAAATCGCAAAGAGTGCGTTCTGGGGTCAAAAAAAAAAAAAATTAATTAATTAATTAAATAAAAAAAAATATTTTTGATATCAACGTCATTAATTTTTTTTTTTACAAAAAAAAACATTGGCTTTACACAAAGAAAAACAATTCCATAAAATAAAAATAAATTTTATAAAAAAAAAAAGATATTATTTTTTCAAATAATAAAAACAATCATTGTGTGTTTTTAATTAATTTAACACACACACGAAAAAAAACTTTTGAAAGAAAAATAAAAAAACAGATATTTTGATTGATATGTTAAATTTTTATTTTTTTTATTTTTTTTTTAATATGGAAAAATTTTTATATTGTTGTTATATATTTATAATTAATATTATTTTTATTTTATTCAGAGGAAGCAACAGTACTATTATTTGAATCATCTTTGGTGTTGTCATTAAAGTTTATATATTGAACACAATCTGGAGATAATAAATAATTTTTGAAAGATTCTAAAAGAGAATCACGTATTGAAGGAGTTGTATCTGTGGAGAAAACCAAAGAGGATATCTTCAAATCAAAAGATTTAATATTTTTACATTCTTGATCTAAATTTAATTGAATGAACCATTCAAATTCGAAAAAGTCTTTTGATTGAGCTGATCTTGATCTTTGTTTTTTATAATGTCTAATAAATAATTGTTGTTGCTTGCTTTCTGATGATGAGTCTTCTTTTGAAACATCTTTTTTATCATTTTCATTTTCTAGTGTTACATTGTTGTTATTATTATTTATATATTGTGAAATTAAAATTCTCCAACCACCAGCATCCATGAAGGGTATTCCTTTTGCAATGTTCAAAGTGATTTCGATAATAACTGGTGCGATAATAGCTTGATTACAACATTTAAGAATTCTAACCAATTTACTATTATCAGAGCCACAAACTTCATCTAAGAATTTTAATAGCTCTCTCTTGAAATCTGAATCTGGGTCGGTCGACATTGGAATGTATTGCGAGAATTTCTCTTTAACGCTATCTTCTAAGAGTGGTGTTGCATCGTCAATATTTGAATCTTGATCTTGAATTTTGGCTAATGAAAGTAAAACATTAAAGATATCTTGAATCTTATTACCATGGTTAATTGGATTATCGATGCCATCGGCAGATTTGAATGTGAATGAACTTGCTAAACGTGGTAAATCAATACCAACTGAACTTGTAATCAATGTTTTGTTAAATGTCTTTGAAATTTTAATTCTCCAATCTTCATCAACGGTTTCTGGTGCATTATATTTCTTAGCTTTTGAAACTGGTGGTTCACATTTTAGTGAAAGATCGGCTAACTCATCCAATGAAACAGTAGTGATATCTTGGAGTTGAATGAAAAGCTTGGTTGGTTTCATTGTATAATTACGTTGGGTTTGAAGACGTTGAATTTCAACAACAATGCTAAAGATTGAACGAAGTTTTTCGACATTGATGAATTCATTACCATTGCCATCATCGATTGTAGTTGGTGTCTTTTGGTCAATTTGTGAGAGGATGGTACGAAGAATAGAGAAATGTGGTACACATGCACTGTTGATTGATTGGCAAATGGCGGCAAATGGATTGTGTGACTCTGGTTTCAACCAAAGAGTTAATGATTGTTCAAGTTGTTGAATTTTGTTGAGGGTTTCTTTTGGTACAGCGTCCCATGTTTGAGTTAAACGTTTAATATGATGATTAGTAAGAGCATTGTGAATACTAATGGCAGTATTAAAGTTTGCTAAATCTTTACAATTAAGAGCGACATCGACTAAAAGATTGATAATAGCAACTCTTTGATTCTTATCTTCTGTTGAAAGAATTTCACCCATGGCCCATTGAGTCCAAATGGTTGATTTCTTTAAGGCTTGTGATAATGATGGAGCAGTTGAAGGATCGACACTACCTTGCATGAGACGAACCCAATCTGAAAGACGAACATTAGTAAAGAGATCATAGTCGACTAAAGTACATTGTTCAGCTATTTCCACAGCACTTAATTGATCTTTGCTACCAGCAGAAAGGAAGGTTTCAGAGAATGAAGCAGAACGAGTTCTATTGTGTGGACGTTTTAATCTTAAAAAGTCAAGAGTTGACTTGTGATTAAGACGTGAGCTTAATTGAGATTCGAGATGTGGGAAACCCTTTAAGATTTTCTTTGATAACTCTTTATCTTCTCTCATTTCTTTGTAGCAATAATCTACCCAAAGTTTAACAGCTTCACTAATACAGTTGGCTTTCTTGGATGAACGTTGCTTTTTCCATTTCTTTTTAGTTTCGGTATCGTGGTTCTCTTTGTATAAAGCAATTAATTTATCTACCAATTCTGATGGTTGGATGAAATAGAGATGGGTGATGAAGAATGTGAGTGAGAAATACTTTTCATTGTATGGATAGTAGTAATCTGTAGCTTTTTCGATGAGTTTGTCAATTGAACCTTCCGAGATAATCATTTTACCATCAGAATTCTTATATTTAATATCTGGTTCGTTGGTTTTTTCAAATAAAAATACATAGTTGTCAATGATTAAACGAAGAGTTTCTTCACTGATTGATTTAAATTGGTTCTTTAATTTTGGATCTGTTGAACGGAAGAATTGTGGTCCAAAAGCAGCGGCAATGGTTGAAATAGCTTGAGCACGATTAACAACTGGGTTATTATTGATATATTTTGAAGTGAAAAAGGTGACCAAAATTTGTAATAATGAACGACGAAGTTGTGAGAGGGAATTGATTAAATACTTGATATCATTCAACTTAACTTGTTGATTTGTGATGTCGTGGACTTCGACTAAATCATTAAAGAATTTACTATTGAAAAGTGGTTGTGGTAATTCTGCAAAGAATAAAATTAATAAACCTGCAACAATTCTTGGGTCATTAATAATTGAGAAATCAACTCTATCGAAATCTGATTTTCTTCTGTATTCTTTAACTGCTGGTTCATTTTCTGCACCGCTGAAAATAGCATTAACATCTAAATTATTTGAGTTTGATAAAACTGTAATAGTTTGTGTAAGAATTGCTGGTAAATCACCGTCATTTGATAAAACTAATTGTGTTAACTTGACTCCATAAATTCCTAAAAATTATAAAAAATAAATAATTATTAGATATTATCTTTTTAAAAAACCATTTAATTAAATTTATGATACTTACTATATGGTGAATATTCTGGTACACCTTTTTTGATATCAGTTGATGATAAATTTTTAGTTAATTGTTTTTTATTTGTTTTTTGTTGTTTCTTTTCTTCCTTATCCTTTTTCTTTTGTGCTGATTTTTCTTGTTTTATACGATCTTTTTCTGATTTTGTAAGTTTAGCTTTTTCCTTCTTTGGTGTGCCGCTAGCTGATGATGCACCTGTTGAAGGTACTTTATTGTTTTCTTTTGAATCCCTAATAAAAGTTTTAGTAACGGTTCTAGTTAAAGTGGCACCAATTGACTTTTTGGCTGGATCTTTCTTTCCAGTTGGTCTATTTAACTTTTCAGAGGATGAAGAGTTTGATGATGTAATACTTGCTGGTGCAGTATTAGTAGCTTGGACTGAAGCACGTTGTGAAGATGGGGATGATGGAGCTGTGGCATGTTGGTTGGAAACTGTAACTGGTGTTTGTTGAGTAGCAACACTACCACTTGTAATATTAGTTGTATTAGTTGTGGTACTATTATCGGCTAATGAAGTAGACTCAACTTTGGTAGTGGTTGTGGTAGTGGCCATAAGAGTGGTATTTGAAGCTTGATCTGGTGATAATGATTCTTGTTGAACAACTGTAGTGCTACTTGTACTTGATACAACTGGAGTAGATTCGTCACCACTACCAACGGCATCATTTCTTGGGGTAGAAACATCGACCTCTAACTCACCAGATTCTTCATCTGACTCGATTTCATCTGACTCTTCATCTGATGATGATGATTCCTCTTCTGATGAATCAGATTCATCATCTTTAATTGGTTGCTCTTGATGTTGTTGTGGTTGTGATATGGAGCTAACTTGTGGTTGTGGTGATGATTGAATACCACCACTGCTGTTAATCTTTGGGATAATTTCACAACTGATGCTTCTTGATCTTCTGTAATCTCTTGGAGTTTGTTTATCAAAATCATCGACAACTGCAATAGTTTCACCACCAAATTTAATTTCTAATTGATTGGCTTGTAATGATTCATTGGTAGTTGATGTGGAAATAGAATTTGGTAAAATTACATTTGCTGTTGTATTAGTAATTGTAGTTTCAACTTTAACGTTATTATCATTAACTGTATGGGTAGTGGTGGTTGTGGTTGTGGTGGTTATTTTTGTGCCAAAATCTTCAGCGGTGACTGGTGGTGAAGAAATGGATGGTGATAAAGATTCTTTTGGTGAGGTTGGGGAAGAGGAATCTGATGGTGTAATTGAATCTAAATGGGATGCTGTTGGAGTAGTTGGTGGTTTTAATAAAAGATCACTACTTGTCGATTTTCTTAAAATATTTGTGAGATCTATTGTTTGTCTTGCACTACGTCTTGCATTATATCTTTCTGTTTCTACTTGTAATTGAACTGCTTTTTGTTTCCAAAATCCAAAAGCTTCAGTTACATTTTGTTCGTCCCATTCACCTTTAGTTGTAGCATCTTTAATTAAATCTTCTGGTGGTGGTGGAGGTGCTGGTGCTAATAATGGTATAGGTTGAATCTTTTTTTTAGGTGCTACAACTTGTTGTTTACTCCCAAAATTGGTTGAAATATTTTTTTTCTCAACTGATTTCCAAAAGTTTAATGCTGAAAATGATTCTGAATTTATATCTGCCATTCTACTTTGATATTATTAATATTTTTATTATCTTTATTTCTACTATTACTATTATCCTTTTGTTTTAAAATAAAAAAAATAAAGAAAATTAGTATTGTGTTACTTGTATTATTTGTATTATGAAAAAAAATAAAAAAAATCTAAATACCAAAATTTTTACCTTTTTTTTTAATGTGTATTATTTTTTTTTTTGCTTTTATTTATTATAAAAATACACAAACTCCACACACTTTAATTATATTTTTTTTTTGTTTTTTTTTTTTGTTTTTTAAAAAAAAATAGATAGGATCTGTTTTTTCTTTAATAAAAAAAAAAAATATGTTTTATATTACTATATATATATTATAGTAGTATAATAAATTATATTACAATGGTCTATAAATAAATAAATAATTTAATAAATAAATAAATAAATAAATGAAAAAAAACTATAGAATTATTATTATATATAAATATAAAACACAAAAAAAACAAAAAACAAAAAACAAAAACAATAGACTAAAATAAAATTTTTATTAAAGTTTTATTTTTTTATTAACATATGTTCTATAGGACTGAGTATTGTTATTTATTTATTTATTTTATTGTATTTATAATCCTTTATATATATAAATTTAAATAAAAAAAAAGTTTTTTTTTTTTTTTAAGAATTATTTTTATTTTTTTTTTTTATTTTAATTTTTTTAAAAATTTTTTATACATTTTATTATAAAAAAAGCCATTTTATTTTTTTTTTTTTTTTTTATTTTTTTTTTTTTGAATTTTTATTTTTTTTTTTGAATTTTTTTTTTATTTTTTTTTTTTTTAAAATCATATTATAATAAAAAAAATTTTAAAGTAAAAAAAATATAAATTTATTTATAGCAATATTTATACTATAAAATATGTATATTTTGTTCAGTTGAATCAAATACTATTTAATATTTTTTAAATTTATCACAAATAATTTGATGGTGTTGGATTAAAAAAAAAAAAAAAACGGATTTTTTTCAGTGATTTGGTGGGAAATTTTTTTTTTTTTAATTATTCATCACTAAAACCAAAATATCCAAATAATAACATTATAATTTTTGATGAAAAAAATACAAAATCCAAAAAATAATAATGATTTTTTTTTGGTGATTTATAATAATGATTTTTTTTTTTTATTTATTTTTTTATTTAAAAAAAAATTTGGATTGTTGCAATAATACATAAAAAAAAATAGAATATAAATATAAAAAAAATTAATGAAATGAAGGAGTGATGAGAGTGTTACATTTCATTTTTTTTTTTTCCAAATTATTGTTTTAATTTTGATTGCTGTTTTGAATTGGAATTAAATAATAAGAGTTTTGATTGTTATCATAAACAACTTGTGGTTGGAAAGTTGGTTGAGCAATAATGGTTGGTTGTGGAATGACAACTGTTTGTTGATCAATTGGTTGGGATGATGATTGTTCTGGTGAGGAAACTGAGATACCAGAGAGTGAACAGGTGCATTCAGTATGGATATTTAATAAACCTAAAGTTTTGATGTATCTTGCATATGATTTGAGTGAAATTGCAAAAATGATAAAGAGTAAAATTGAAAAGAGGATATAAAAGATAGTGCTTTGGGTTGCTAATGAAGTTATGCTCAAAATTAACATAGTGAGAGTTAATGAGTAATAAAGGAATGTAGTAATAAAGTGCTATAGTTTTAATTAAAATATTAAAAATTAGTATTATTATAATTTATATTATTGTTGATATATTTTTGTTATTGTTTTTATTATTCATAAGTTTAAATTAAAATTGGATTTTTTTGATTTTTAATTAAGTTATAACTATTGTTATTGTTATTTTAAAAATTTTTTTTTATTCATAATATTATTATGGTTTTATGGTTATTGGTATTATTAATTATATTATATATCTAGGTTATTATTTAATGACTTACAATAATGACGACCCATCTCTTTTTGGTGTATGCGGCAATAAGACCGATAATTGGGGCAACGAAAAGATAGAAATATGGATAAGGAGAGAAGAATAAGAATACAATTTGATAAAGGAATGGGGAGCAAATAGAGTATTGTTGAACTCTAGCACATTCTTTTAATTGACAATGTTCACAACAATTAAGATTAGAGTCGGTAAGACTAGTGTCGATAACTAATACTGGTTCAACATTGATGGATGGTTGTTGATTGCCTGGGTATTGTGAATAGTTTTGTTGTTGTTGTTGTGGGTAAACATAAACATTTGGGTTATATGGTTGTTGTGGTTGTGGTTGTGGTTCTTGAGTTTGAACTGGTGTGTATTGATTATCTGAAGCACCCATTTTTTAAAAAAATTTTAATTTTTATTTCCTACTAAAAAATTATTTATTAAATGATATGTAAAGAGATTTTAAAAAACTAGTAATATAAAAAAAGTACAATATAGAGAAAAGGTTGTGTGTGTAAAAAATTAAAAAAATAAAAAAATAAAAAAAAATTAAAAATTAAAAATTAAAAAAAAAAAAATAAAAAAAATAAAAAAAATAAAAAATTAAAACATTTTTATTTATTTTTTATTTAATTTTTTTTTTTTTTTTTTTTGGTTTATATGTGAATATTTTAATTCTCAATGAAATGATAATAAAACTTGTAATAGACACGTAGCAACCACAATAATATGATTTTTTTTTTTTATTTTTTTTTTATAATTATAAATTTTTGGTTATAACTAATTATAATTATAATATATCTTTTTAAAATAAATTATAATAATATATTTTTTTTTGATTATCTCAATATTATTAAACACACAATTACTCCGCCAAGATATTTTTGATATTTTTTTAATTTATAAAAATTAATAAAAACGATTTTTTTTTTTTTTAATTGGGTAAATTAATCCTAAAATAATAAAATTAAATAATTCAAATAATTATAGTTTATTTGATTTTTGTTTTGATCTTTTTTTATTTTTATTTTTTTTATTTATTTTATTTTATGCAATGTTGTAAAGTAAAAATGTTGGATCACAATAATATTTTAAACAACCATTTGGATATGATGGAATTGATGTTAAAGAGTAATTTCTAGGGCAACGTGGAGGAGGAGAGGCCATACAAATATTTTTATCTTTTGATCTTGGGGCACATTCAAAGAAAATATAACAATGGTTAAAAGAACGAACATAAGTTGCAACTAGACCTTCTACACATCTAATTTCTTGCATCTTTTTTGGGCAGTTATTTGAGTTTGTTAGAGATATAAATAAATATTCTATATTGTAATCTTTAATTGAGCTTTCAATATTTTTATTTGATGAGATTTTTTCATCTTCGCTTTTATATAATTCATTATTTACAGTGAATACTGAGTTACCAGTGTTGATTAAATACTCTAACCAATTCTCTTGAACATTTGTTACATACTTTGAATAGTGATTTTTTAAACAATCAAATTTATTTCTTTCGGTTTCGGGTAGTGTTGGGACTAAAAGATTGTGTGGATTACCCAATGTGAAAAAGGTGGTATCATTTTTTAATGTAAATTCCCTACCTGGGATAGGCATTAATCTGTAAAGATTATATGCTTCAGCCTGATAAACATCGTTTTGGAAATCCAAATTGAGGTCACCTCTAATAATAACATGATAGTCTGGAGCATATCGGAGTTTTCCTTCACTGATAAATGAATCCATTTGAAAAATTTCTGAAACATAGATTTCAGGTTCATCTTTACCAGTATTTAATAATTTAACAAAATAACCCCCACACTTTACTATACCACCTTGACATGTTCTTTTATCTACTCTTACACCATAATACCTGAAATCATCATTACCTTTTATTTTTTTTAAATTTAAAAAAAATAAAAAAATAAAAATTAAAAAACTATAACTATAATATTTTTTCATTCTTTTTTTTTTTTCAAAACAAAGAAATAATATTTATTAATGTATTTATAAAAATTGTTTCATGAATAACACTGTTATTCATTTATTTTAATATTTTTAGAAAATTATTTATTATAAATAAAAATATTATTTTTTATATATGAAAATATTTTCAAAATAAAACAGATTTAAAAAATAAAAAAAAATATGTATGAAAAAATAGATAATATAATTATTTTTAATTACAGATATAAAACAGCATATAAAAAAAAAAAAAAATAGAAAAAACAGTGGGGTTGTATTGGTGTATGTGCGAGTAAAAATTTATGTTTTATAAATAAAATATAACATACAAAAAAAAAAATATGATTTTTTACTAAATATACCCCACTCCAAAATGTTGTAGTTTAAACTGTGAATAAATATTTTATTTATATATTTATTATTTAATTTATTTTGTAAATTGTTTAATTTTATCTTGAAGAGAATTAATTTGAATTAAAGTTGAGGGTGAGATATTTAATTCTTTTTGTAATAATTTTTCAGAGTTTACAAAATTTTTAAGATTAAATTCTACAACGGCTAAATAGAAATTTGTTAATGAAAGTTTGGAATTACTAACGATGGTTTCTTCTAGGAGGGTGAATGCATTTTTCATATCATTGTTGTATTGTTTCATATTACTATTTGTTAATTTACTTCCAGATACAATGAGAATTGCTTTTAATAGTTTAATGATTGTATTATCTGAAATATTTGGTTGTTCGTTTGCCATTTGTTGATCTAATAGTTTATTTGCTTCTTTAAATTTCTTTTGAATAATTAAAATTCTAATAATTTTACATAATGTTGTTGAATATAAACCTATATTATTATTATTATTATTATTATTGTTATTATTACTACTGTTCAACAAGTTATTTTTTAAAATTAAAAGTGATCTATTTAAACATAATAGTGATAGTTCTAAAGAGTCATTTGATTCATAAATATCCGAGATTTGGTGGTAGGTTTCAATTGAGTTTGGTTCAATTTTTAAAGAGTTCTTTAAAATTGTTAATGCTTGATCTTTTTCATTGTTTCTGAGATGGAATTTGGCCTGTAATGATAAAAGTACTGATTGCTTTAATGGATCTGCTTTAAACTCTTTTAATTGGGATTCTAATTTTTCTTTGAATAATTGTGGGTTTAATACGATTAAAAATTCTAATTCGATGATATCTTGTTGGAATTTTAATTGAGAGTCACCATTAATTTCAGATTTACATTTATATTGTACAGTATTCCAACATGCTTTGACATTTTCCCAATTTTCATTAATTTCATCGGTATTGTTGTTATCATTGGATGAGGCTACGGTGTAGATGGAACGCCAGTAAATTAAATTTAATAAATTTAACCATGGTTCTGATAGTGATGGATTTGAATGGATGATACGTTTCATAATAGAAATGGCGCTATCTAATGATTTGTTATATGGTGACTGTTGTTCGAAAAGATGGGCTTTGGCTAAAATCTCTAAATCGTGAACTGATGGACCTAATTCGACTTTATGATTTGGACCAATTGAAAGTTGACCCATACCAGAGTATTCATAGTTTGATGTTTTTTTGTTTAATGAGTGACCTAATAGTTTCAATGGTAAGTTAAGTGGATCTTCTTTTTGATGGAATTGTAATTCTAATTCAGCTAAAGCGGTCCAACCTTGTTCATCATTTGGGAATAAATGAACAGCCTTCTCTAATTCTCTTTTGGCATTTTCAATATCGTTATTATTTAAAACATGGATTTGAGATAAAAGTAAATAGCTTTCGATTTCTAAATCTTTGACTGTGTCTTGTAATCTCTTTAGGGTCTTGATAGCCATATCATATTTCTTGAATGAAACATAAACGGATGCCATGAAGTACCATGCTTTATAAAATTTACTATCGATTGTAATGATTGCTTCTAAAGTTTTGATAATTGTATCAAATTGTTTACTATTATCTTTTGAACTAAATTGAACTTTTGCTAAAATTAATAAAAGATTTTGCTTTCTTAAATTATTGAATGTTTGTTGTGATGTTTGAGATTGCTTTGGTAATAATGTAATTGCTTTTTTAATTGAATCAATTGATAAATCAGTTTTATCCAATTTACAATAAATTAAACTAAATAATTCCCATAATAAACTATTTGAAAGTGAGTTTTTAGTTTTGCAATCATTATCGTTTATGTAAGGTTTGAGGGTTTCGAGTGCTTGTGCATATTTGTTTTGGTTGTATTGTGATCTTGCTAAATTAATTGAGATATATTTGATTTTTTCTTCTTTTTTAAAGATAATATTATTATTTTTACCAAAATTTACAGACTTATCTTTAAAAAGTATGGAGCCAATAGATATTTGATTGCTATTGTTAATTTCCATATCTTTTTCTTCATCTACCCCTACTGGAATACCGGTACCGATACTATTGCTATCTTGATTATTTAATAATAGCTGTAAAGCATCTTGAAAGTATTTTTCAGAGCTTGTATAGTCTTTTTGATTACTGTAGACCAAACCTAAACAATTATTTGCTTCGACTGATTTTGGATTCATTTCGACATACTTGTATAATACAGAGAATGATGTTTCACTATATCCTCCAAGCATTGATGTTATACCATAGCCTAATAAACCTTCGCCGATTGGTGATGAGTCTAATTCGTTGTCAATAAAATTATAGTCATCGATTGGTTGCTCTTTTTCATTATTGCCACTTTCAGTGTTGTGGTTTATAATTGATGATTTAATTTCATTTAATAAACCTTGAATTGACCATGATGTTGCAGAGTCAATATTATTATTCTTTGCAATCATTAAGGATTTTTCTGATAGTTCAAAGAAACCATATTGTAAATATAAAAGTGTTAAGTTGTTATATGGTTCAGATTTTGAAGAGTCCAATTGAATCGATCTGATGAAGGCATGTTGACTTTGTTCTGGGAAATTATCCATCAGAGTTACACCTAATAAATTCCAAAGTCTAAAATCGTTTGGTGATAAATTGATCGACTCAATAATACATTTGATTGATGATTTCAATAAATTATCAGTTTCCTCTAAGGTGATTGCTTTGGTGGTTGGTGAGGATGTGCTATTTGATTTTTCTTGTTGTAATTTTAATTTTAATTGATTTTTATAAATAATATATTGATTGTAGTAGCCAATTGAAAGATCTTGAAGTGATGAGGCATTTGAATGAATTTTAACACATTTAAAGTAGGCTTCAGATGATTGTTTTGATTTTTCAACTTTTGAAACTTGATCATTAACTGGTAAATTCAAGTAGAAACCACAAATATCACCATATAATCTCCAAAGACTATGGAATTCTGGTTCTTTTTCTAATGCAGCTTTGACTGATTCTTCGGCAATCTTTAAGAGTTTTAATGCTTCGGTGAAATTTCTATATTTAAAATTATCTTTTGATAGCTCTAATAAACACTCGGCCTTACCTTTTAATGATGGAACATTATTTTCGATTTGAGCTAAAACACGGTCATACTCTTGAACGGCATCACTATAGAGTGCTAATGTTTTGCTAAGAGTTGCAATTTGGAAATTGATATCAGAGGCTACACGATGTTCACTATCTAAAATTTCTTCAGCCTTTCTTAATGATTTTAATGAGGCTACATATTTAAATTGACGTCTATAGGCTTCAGCTAATGCACGCCAATAGGATTCATTATTTGGCTCACCTTTGATAGCAGCTAATAATGATACTACTGATCCATGGGTATCTTTATTATCCATTTGGTAGATGGCCAGTCTGTAATAAGCCCATGAGCACTTTGCAATATTAATTGGGAACCTTTTAACATGAGAGGTACAATATTCTGTAATTTCTTTATAGAGCGACATTACCAATGAGGTTTGACCTGCATCTGCATAAAATTGACCAAGATTAAAACCAGCCTCAGCATTTAATATATCCAATGATAAACTCTTTTGATAACATTTTTTTGATCTTTCTTTATCGGTGTCCTTATAAATGGTACCCAACTTTGCGAATGTATCTGAAAAATTTGGGTTAAGTTTTGCTGATTTTAAGAGTGATTGGGTTGCTTCAGTTTTATCTTGAGTGGTAGCCAAACAGATTAAACCTAACACATAAAGATTTAAATAGGTCTCTTTAATTTTGATACATTCTAAAATCATTGGCTTTGAGGTGCTTAATAGGTATTCTTTATCGTTGGCTTTAGATAAAACATCGATCCATGGTAAATAGGTTTTGGATTTAACAAGATAGTATTCTTTTGATTGATCCAAAAGAGTTTTGAATTGTAGTTTTGATTTTTCGTAATCTTTAGTTTCAAAATAGAGTTTGGCCAATTCGAAAATAATCTTTTGGTGTTGATAGGTAGGGAAGTCTTCTCTTTCAAGCAGTTTTTCAAGGGTGTTTACAGCGAAATCAAAGTTAGAATTGAAGCAAAAGGACTCAACCAAAATTAATTGAAGCTCAATATAAATACCATCAAAGAATGGGCCAACGGCTTTTTGTTTCTTTTCAAATACAATTGATGATTTCTTTATGATATCTCTTATTCTGTCATGGTTTGAGGTTGATGGAGAGGCTCTCATTTGTTCTAAATACCATTTCGATAATGCCAAATAGCCTAATAAGGAATCTGTTGAGCCTGTGTTTGAGAAACCTTTTTCAATCAATTGCTTACTTGAATCACTGTAATCGGATTTTTTTGACATGGCATAGAAACCTAAACCTATCCAACCTAAACCTCTTACTGGATATTTTGAAGTTAAAATTGTTGAAAGTCTATTAATCTCTTCGTATACTTCATCTAGTGGATCGCTACTGTTTCCTATATCCTCTTCTAATAAATTTATTAATTGTTCTAGTGAATAGCTTGGATTACCTAAAATACTATTCATACGTTGACATTCTTTATTGATTTTTTCTCTATAAATTTTTTGTTCGTTCTCTGATGTTTGATATCTTCTTTTTAATATTAAAATTTGAATATAATGATTGTAAATTCTAAGTAAGGTGTCATTATTTAAATATTTAATATTATCATCATTATTTATTAAAAAATTATATTTTGAAAGCTATTTATAATTTAAAAATTAAAATATTGGTGATGTTAATAATAATATTGGTAAAAATAATAAAAATAATAAAAATAACATTGTGATCAATGTTATTATGACTTACATCGAAATGATCACCATTTATTAATTGTTTATTTATTTCAAATTCGATTTTATCTCTTTCGATTACTTGATCAGGAGTGAGTTTTGGGCCACCAATTGACATAGCAGATTGGTTTGGATCGATGATTGGAATATTTTTTTCACGTAATTTTTCATCTACTCTTGACTTTAAAACTGATTGATAATATAAGAAATTAATATTTTCGCATTTCTCTAAAAACTTTATTTTCTCTTCATCAGATGAGCCACTGCTGTTCTCTTTCTCCACTTCTTCGATCATTGGTAAAATTAAATCTAATGCTGTTTTATAATCTTTTTGTGCAGTACTAAGGTCAATTAATTTTAATGAATATTCTTTCTTTTTTGCTAAATCAGTGGTTAACGGTAATAATTGTTTGATTATATTTGTAATTTTTTCATTTTCGTTGGTTTTGCTGTATAATTCATATAACCCCTAAAGCAACAACAACAATAAAATAGTTAGTATTTATAAACATTATTTGATTATTTTTGTGAAGCATTATATGATCAATACTTTTAATGGGGTGGGTGAATTTGGTTGTAATTTAACTGCTGCAATATATGATTTTTCGGCTTGTGTATAGTTATTTAGATTATAGTTTGCAAGACCCATAAATAAATGTATCATTGGGTTTTTATCATCATATTGTATAATTTCAGTGCAAATTTCTAACACTGTTTTATAATCTTTTTTATCTATAGCCACTCTGGCTTCTTTTAATTTATCTTTAATATAATCCATTTCGGTGATGTGAAACTTGAAAAAAACTTTTTATTTTACAAATACACCAACCAATTATATTTGTTATTATAATAATGTAATATATTTGGGAAAATAGTATTAAAAAATGAACAAACAACACACAAAATTCAGAAAATTTAAAAAAAAAATTTAAAAAAAAAAAAATTTAAAAAAAAATATTTTTATTTTTTTATTTCAAAAGTTTTTTTTTATTTAATTTGCTTTTTTTTTTTATAATTTGCTTTTTTTTTTTATTAATCATTAATTAAACCCCCTTTGGTTTTCAACATCCTCATTAATTTAAATTATAATTTAAATACCCATTCTATTTTTTTAATCAAATATAATAATACAGTTATAATACAATAATAACACAACATATGTTGATCATTTAAACATTGTTTTTTTTTGTTTTTGTTGTTCTTTTTTTTTTTTTTTTTATAAATTTCCCAAAAACCAATAATAATATTAAAAGGAATGGGTTTAAATTTCTCAATCCCAAATAATGATTTTTCATATAGAGATATAATAGAATGTATTAAAGATTCAACTAATATACATGCCTCATTAAAATTAATATTTAATAAATCAAGTTTTTTAAATATTGAGGATTATTTTGATGATACAAGTTTGGAATGCTCATACCGTAATATTGATTTATAATATAAATGATAATAAATAATAAGAAATATTAATATTTTTTTTTTTTTTTCTTTTTTTTTTTAAAAAATAGGATCAGGAAAGGATGATTTTAAATTATTTTTTACATGCATAGATTGTAATACCACAAAGTTATGTCCATTTTGTTTTATTATTGGTGATCACAAAACCCACAACTACAAAAAAGAATTACTAAATTTATCAATATGCTCATGTACATCAACATCAAAAAATAAATGCTTCAAACATAAAACTTTAAGACCTATTGATTATGGCAGATTGTTTCAAGATGAATCTTTAAGTAAAAATAAAAAAAATAAAAAAAATAAAAATAAAACAACTACAACCACAACAACCACTACAAATATTAATAATATATCACAGTTAAATAGATCCAATGATACAGAAATATTTTTACCAAATTATATTGATTATAAAAATATATTAGTTTACAGTGATAATAATAAAAACAACCTAACAGAATTATTAAAAGTCAAAAATGAAATTCATATATTTATAAGATATATATTAATATTTTTAATTGAAAAGCCTTTAAGACCAAACCAAAAAAACAATAATTTATTATTTTCTGGATATGTCGAAGTTTTAAGATTTTTAAACTATTGTGCCCGTAGATCAAAATTTATTGCAAATGTTATAGCTATGGAACTACTCTCAACCAACATCGATCTAGACTCACTTTTGGAAGTCAATGCGAGTGAATATGAAAAGATCTCACTCAAGGATATTACGTTTGAAAAAGATATTAGATTTTCAATTAGATTCAAACCAATCGAAAAAGATGTAAAAGATGAAATCCCAAATGATCTTACAGCAGACTTTGGTGAAATCTTTGTAAAAGGAACCAAAGAAGAAATGGAACAACCACAAAAAGACCCCGAAATGCCAAATTTAGTTAGCAATGATGAGGATGCTCCAAATCAATCAAATTCAAACAGCTTACCAACTAAGAGAAAATCATATATGTACAGATTCAATATATATTTTTCAAAAGACTTAAAAGAGGCACATATCGATCTTTTCAACACTCTTATCGATAGAAGCAAGACATTCAAAATTTTCTTTTATAGACACTTTTTCGACATTAACAACGATCATATTTCTCATAATAGTAGATATGACATATACATGCTAGATAAATTTTATAACGATGAAGATTTAATCTCAGTTTGGGTCAATAAAAGCAACCTTATCAAGGATATTTTATTTAACAACGCAAAATTCAACCAAGGTTATCGTAGTTTTGATCCCTTAAGATTCCTACCGGATATTATTCGTACAAATAAAAATGCCGCAATTCATTTAGTTTGTAGAGATTTCCAAAAGTTTACCACTCTTTGTATGCAATTCGAAAGCAATCCAATTAAAAAAGAAGATAGTACAGGCGAAGAAAGAATTGGAAGTATTTGTTTTACTCAAAACATTATATTTACTTTTCTCTATCTTTACAAACAACAAACACCTTTAGATCTCTTAAAATATTTTAATGCTTATCTCAGCTCATTGGACGAATGGAAACCTCAATTAAAACCAAGTAATGAACACATTCATTTCAACTATTATACCTGTTTGCCATTACTCCTATCAGCAGCTGTCATCGAAAATGAAAGTAACTATATGAATCTTCAATTGGGCTCATGGGAAAAAGCTGTCAAATATACATATTTATTGACTCGTTATTATGCTATGTCTCAAATCTCTTACTTTAATATATGTAAACACCGAACAACCTCATCTCTAGCTCGGTATCCAATACAAGGTATTGAAGTTAGTGCCACTATTAATGCTCTTCAAATTTTATCATTGATAGACTTTAAAAAAGTTCTCGATTGTTTGTTTAAAAACCCAGTTAAATTATTATTAACCGACTCGGTCGCTTACAATGCATATAATTCAACACCAACTTATTTAATCTATCGTTTCCTCTTCATTATTCTTAAAAGCAAGAATTTCTATTTCAATGGTGATTGCCACAGTAGTGGTATTCAAAACTATGAATACAAGAAAATTCTTAAATATCATATAGTTAACCTTTTACATCGTGGTATCGATGTACCATTAGACTTGGGTCGTTCCAACACTCTCCTTAGAAATTGTTCAGAAAAAGATGTCTATGATATAATTGAAGAGGTCTCGATTTCTATTGAATCCAAAGGCCTTGAAACAACTAAAAACCTTGCCATAGAATTTGACTATATAGACTCAACTCGTGTTCATAGAACCATGCCATCATTAAAAATTCAAAATAGCTCACTTACCAATAATCATCTCTTTTTACCAAGTCACTTTACACGTAAAATCAAAGATAGCTATAGGAAGTGTGTTGACGATTATTATGACTATACCAATGTTTACCACATCTTTTATTATGGTTTTCCCGGTCCAGAATATCCATTAGAATCTTTAAGAGATAATACATTTGATAGTGAAATGGGCCCAACCAAAGGAACCCCATTTAGTGTCCACAGCTCACGTTACCTCAGCCATACTCTTAAAGAGCCATTACTTTATAGATTATTATTCCGTGAATTGATCCATTCAATTTATAGTAATGCTCACCACATAGAAGAATATCCAATACCAATCATCATACATGAAGAAACCACTCAATCTAAAAAGATATCTATATCTATTGATATCCTCAAAATAATATCCTATATCATGGACTATTCTATATTAAATATGACAAGTGCTGAACTAACCCTAACCAAAAAAGAATTTAAAAGACACAGCGATTCAAAAGAAAAAACATTTTTACCTTCAACCACAAACTCATTAACTATTTTATTAGACACTCATTTAAACAATCATAAATCAAATCTATCAATCATGCAAGTGGTTTTCAAAATAATAGCGCTCAACGACGAAAGAATTCAATTTGCCCAAAGAATCAATCAAACCTATAAAAATCTAATTTCAAATAATAATAACACCAACACAAAAAAAAACTAAAAATGGTCATTTAGATTTTAATTAAATTCTTAAATTTTTTTAATAAAATTAATATATTATTTATTCATTCTGATAATATTCCTTATTGACAAATAAAATTTTTATTTTAATTTTTTTTAATTTTTCAGAAAAATATTTGATTTTTTTTTTTATTTTTCAGAATTTTTCAGTTAGTTTAAACATAAAATTAAAAAAAAAAAAATTATTTATAGTTTTTTCTGTACTAATATTAAATAATAAAATAATAATTAATATAATATAAAATAATAATAATAATAATAATAATAATAATAATCAAATTATAATTATAAATTGTAATAGTAATAAATAGTAAATTAATAAAAATTCATAAGGTTATATAATTGATAAATTATATAATTATATATACATACAAAAATGACTGAATATATTGATAGAAATCAATCATATGAAAAAAGAAACTCAACAATGTTTGCTCACGATATTACAATTGAAGATTGTAGAGAAGCTATTAAAGGTGTAGCTGGTTTTCGTGAAACTCTTAAAAATGGTTTAGTTTGTTTCAATTATGACTTTTGTTTTAGAGATTCATTCCCAAATCCAGATAAAGAATCAGATTCAAAAAAAGCATTTTTACATAAAGTAAGAAGAGAATGTAGAGGTATTATTTTCGAAGAAAAAACAGGTAAAATTGTTTGTAGAAAGTTACACAAGTTTTTCAATATCAATGAATTACCAGAAACTAATCAAGTAAGTAATATTAATACTAAAAGAACCTTTAAAATTTTAACATACTAATTTTTTTCTTTTTTTTTTTTATAATAATCCAGGATGATATTTTATTAGATGAAGAATTTATATTATTAGAGAAATTAGATGGTTCATTAATTGCCCCAATTAATATTGATGGTTCACCAGCTTGGGGCTCAAAAGCAGGTATTACAGATCTTACTACAAGAATTGAAGGTCATATCAAAAAGAAATTAGAAGAAGAAACCAAATACGACGAATTTGCCAAGTATTGCTTCGAAAAAGGTTATACACCATTATTCGAGTGGTGTTCAGTTCTTAACCAAATTGTATTATTTTACCCAGTCGATAAATTACACTTAATTGCAATGAGAAATATGCTCACAGGTGATTATTTAACACATTCAAAGATGGTTGAAGCCGCCAAACCATTTAATGTACCAGTCGTTGAATGTGTAGATATTAAGAACCATCCACAATTTGTCGAACTCTATAAAGAACTTTCATCCAATGGTGCAGACCACGATAACCTTGTTAAGACTGGTGCTAAAAGAATCTTAGAATTAGTTCAAAAAATCCCACAAGTAGAAGGTTATATTTTAAAATTTGACAGCGGTAGAACATATAAATTAAAAACCAATTGGTATTTCGAATTCCATGGTATTGCTACAAATAATTATTCACACGAAAAAGATGTTTTCCACTTAATTTTAAATGATGGTTTAGGTGCAATCGATGATTTAATCAGTAAACTTGCTGCCACAGGTCAAGTCCCAGAAAGATTCTTTAGAATTCAAAATTTTGCTAAAGAGGTTTTAAGCAGAGTCGAAGAGCTCTCCTATAAAGTTATAGAGTTTATTATCAAGGCAAAATCAGAAGGTAAAATGCGTAAAAATATTTCAAATGATAACTCAATTTCAAACAATTTCAAGAAAATGGTTTTCTCTTTCTATGATACAATCGAATATAATCACGACCCAAAAGCACATATCGGTAAAGTTTCAAAATCAATTCAAGAAAAATTAAAATTACTTTGTTTTAATTCAAATAAATTAGATGAAGTCAAAAAAATATTAGGAGGAAATTTAGATTTCAAAGATTAATTAAACTACAAATAAATTATATATATTTAAAAAAAAAAAAAAAATTTTGTTTTTAAATTTTTTATCTAAATTATCATATTTTTATTTTTATTTATTTTTATACCAAATCTATAAAACCATTCACATAATGGATATATGTGATTAATCATGATTACACCCATATATTAAAAATAGGTTTATTTCGAATCAACTCGATTCTTTTCTTACAACAAATAATGGAATCTCTTGGAAGAAGGCCAAATTTGGAATTTTATTTGGAAATAAAAAAAATAATTTTTAATTTTTTTTTATTTTTTTTTTAATTTTTTTTTTATTTTTTTAAGTTTTAATTTTTATTTTTTTATTTTAATTTTATTATTTTTTTATTTTATTTTTTATTATTTTTAATATTTATAATTAATAATTCTCAATGTTTATTGTAATAAATAAAGTTTTTTAAAAATAAACAGTAATAGTATAAAAAAAAAATTTTTTTTTTTTAATAGTTTTTTTTTTTTTTTTTTTCAATCCGATAAATAATAACAGTAATAACAATAACTTTTAAATAAAATAGTGTTAATAGTTATAAATTAATATTTAAATATAATATAAAATAGTTCTTTAAAATGGAAAATATACCCGATTTTCTATTAATTGATATAATTGAATGTTTTAATAATAATACCAATTTTGATTGTTATTTTAAAAAACAACAGTACTTAATAAATAAATACCGACAAAATAATAATAGTTTTATCGAATCATTCATCATCGAGCATTTCAAAGATATTGATCATGTATTCAAATTGGTTCATATACATTTAAATAGTATTATTTCAAAAGATTCAAGAAAACAGTTGGTAAAACAAGATATAATAGATAAAGTGTTCAATAGCACATTCACTCCGTTATGTCAACTAGAGGCTAGTGTAATTTATTCACAATTTGTAAATAATCGAAAATTTAAATTTTTCACTGTAAATAATGAAGTTTATAAAAAAAACATAGAAGAAATAAATAACACAAAATCAATTGCATATAATAATATAATTTCAGACTACAATAAATCATTTGATCAATTTATTTTAAAACAGCAACAGCAACAGCAACAGCAACAGCAACAGCAACAGCAACAGCAACAGCAACAGCAACATCAACATCAACATCAACATCAACATCAACATCAACATCAACATCAACATCAACATCAACAGCAACATCAACATCAACCCCAACAACCACACCATCAAACCCCATCTCATCCATTTAGATTTCATCATCCCCATCACCATCGTTCGCATCACCATCCCCATCATTATCACTCTCCCCATCATTCTCCTTTTTTTCCTCCACCATTTCAATGTAAAACTCCCCCATTTCAATGTAAAGCTCCCCCATCAAATAATACAACAAACAATAATCCAAATAATACAACAAACGCAAATACAACAAACACAAACAAAACAAATTCAGTAAATACTTCAACAAATACAAATTCTCAAAAATCAAACCAATCACAATTTAATGAAATCGAAATTGAAAATTTAAAAGAAAAAGTTTCATTAAAAAAAATTTTCGAAAAACCAAATACAAACGATGTTTTAAATAATTTAAATTTTATTTTGGAGAATAATAATAGCAAAAAAGTTGTAAAAAAAGGAAAGGAGAAAAAGATATATTTAATGCGTAGTATAGTGACATTCAACAAACAACATTTTGACCAATTTATTCAAGAAATAAAATCACAAATAGATATCGAACTTTTAAAGGTGTTAAACAAACAAAGTCAAATTAATGATGGTGTAATTAAAACAATTAGTACAATTATAGTTGAAATAGCATTTTTATTAGAGTTTAATAGATTTTATACAAGACATTGCATCTCAAACTCTTTGTTTTTACCAAAGAGATTAGCAAAACTATTGGTGTTTGACAGTAATTTACTTTTGGATACCTATAACTCCAGTCCCCATTGTGCTCCATTAAAAATACCGGACCTATTAAAGATCGACAACAATTTGGGTAAAGATGAAAGTGGAGGTAATATTTCATTGGGAAGTGATTTTCAGTTTTTAAAGAATAACGTCCAATTTAAAGTTAAAGCTTTCGAAATTTCAAAAAAAAGTAATATAATATCAGTTGCAAATAGATTGGCTATTCAAGTTCAAGAATTATTAAAACAATCATCAAGTTCAATTTTACCATCAGTTATTTCAAAAACTTTATCTTCAATATTATTAGACGAGTCTGATGAGTCTGATGACGAGCAACAAGAACAACAGGAGCCATCATTTCAACATACTATACCAACTGTACAATCACCAACCTCAACACCTCAATCACAAAAAGATTCATGTAAATCACCCCTATATTCAGATGACCAAGATGATAGTTTAGAGCATTTGGAATATGAAGATATAGAGCTATTAAATGATATTTTAAAATTTAAAAGTTACTGTAGTAATAATAATAGTTGTAATAAAAATAATGATAAAATGATAATAGATGATAATAATAGTAATAATAATAGTTCAAAAAATAATATAGATAGTGATAATTCAATATATAACATAGTAAATAGAACAAACATAGTCATCGATAAAGAATACCCAAGGTTTATTTTAGATATTATCAAAAGATTACAGTATTTAAATAATGAAGGTTACGATATAGATGAAAAAGAAATTATAGCACTTAAAAAAAGAATATTAAAAGACAATCTTAGAAAATATAGGTTATATATTTTTAATTATATTCAATATTTTAGTCAACTGCAATACCAACAAAAATATCAACAAAATATTGAAATTGTAAATATATCAAACTCAATTCTATTAGCAAACCAATTGGTTCAATTCACAAATTCTCTGGTGTGTCAGAATCAATCATTAAAAACCTACAGTTTTGAAAAGCTAAATCAAATTTTAAGATCGAACTACCAAACAAATGAATCTTTATTTTTATTTGGCTCATTTATTAGCGGTATTTCAATTGATGGTAGTGATTTAGATGTATGCCTTCCAATTGTCGAATTTGGCTGTGATTCAAATGATGAAAAATCAAATAATAGTAATGGTTTTTCTCATCAACCATTCCATCCACATCATCATCATCATCATCATCAACACCATTATCCAAAAGATGAAAAAGATCATGAAGAACGTCGTCAAGCTGTTAAACTTTTTAAACATGAATTTAAAAAAGTATACAAGAAAATTTCAGATATTTTAACAAAGAATGGTTATGTTATTCACGAAAAGAGATTAGCATCAAAGGTTCCAATTTTAAGATTCCAAGATAAAGAAACCGATGTTTTCTTTGATCTATCATTACATAAATCATCGGTAGGTTTACAAAATTCGTTATTGCTCAAAGAATATGTGGACATAGATGAAAGATGTAAACAATTAATTATACTTGTAAAATGGTGGGCCTCACAAAAAAATTTAAACGATGCATCAAAGGATTCATTCTCTTCATTTTGCTTGTCAAGTATGGTAATTCATTTCCTTCAATCTTTATCTCCACCAGTTTTACCAATTCTACACGAACCAAAACCTCATCAAGTTAACCAATTCTCCAAATTTAAAGTTGATCAAGTTATTAAAGAACATCATAGTTACCAGGTTAAATATTATGATTGGAAAACTTTAAATTTTGACCCATCACAAAATCAATCGACCCTCTATCAACTCTTTCACCAATTCTTTAAATATTACATGGCATTTGATTATAATAATTGTATAGTTAGTATTAAAACACCCGACATCAATCAAAAGCAAAACTATTATCAGCAACATCAACATTATTTCCACAAGCACAACAAAAAATGTAAAAGAGGTTCAATGTTTATGGTTCAAGATCCTTTTATTGAAAAAAATGTAGCCAGATCTATTACTATGGAAGTTTTTAACAATACTCTTGTAGAGTTTTCTTTAGCTGAATACCAATTAAAACTATTATCAAATGATATGTTTAATATTTTATTAAATAAAAACTTTTCGATATCTTTAAATGAATAAAAATTTATTTAAAAATATAAAAAATGCAAAAAAAAAAAAAAAGTTTTCTAAAATTTTATTTATTTTTATTTTATTTATACCTTTAATATTAATTTCTTATCGGTGTAATCTATTAGATATGCATTTGATTGCTCCACAAATGTAGATTCTTTGTTTATTGAGTAGTCTCTAATATCAGCACCATTAAAAGTAGCATAAAAGAAAAGATTTGGTTCATCACCCCTATATTTTTTAAATTTGGATAGGGCTACCTCATTATTATCTAAATCTGTACGCCAAAGAGTTAAATCATCTAGGGACCAGTTTAATTGAGTGTTGCATCCGATCTCCATTGGTGATGTGTCTAGGCCATCAGCATCTACAACTGTTACCATAGACGAATCTAGTTCTCCATCGAAATAAAATTTAATTGATGATGTGTGGCTATTGGCACTGCTTTCTTTTCCAACTGTAATACCGATATGCTTCCATTGGCTAACTAAAATTGGTGATTCACTGAACGAGCATTTATCAGATATACATACCTTCAAATAGAATCTCTTCCAAATTGGTGTTATTGAAATTTCGATCTTTTTTCCTCCAAATGAAATCAATTTTTTTTCTTCCAAAACATCATCATTAATTTGTAACCAAAATAATACTGTAAATCTACCATTTATTGAAGGAACATTCTTTTGTGCGATTTTGATACATGATCCACTATTTAAACTTAATATTTTTTTTTGTCTAAAGACTGAGGTTGGTTCACCAAACCTTTCTCTAAAACCATCTTCATATGCTTTTTCAATCTAAATATTTAATTAAAAAAGTTGTTAATATTAATAACAATTTATAAATAAAATTTTTATAAATAATATTTTTATAAATACATACATCTAATTTTGAAAGTTGCTTGTTTACCTCCATACAAACTCTGCAATCTGAGTCATAAAACATACAACGTTCATATTTTTCAATGAATGATTTGGGTAATGGTTTCTTTTTCCAGTTGAAATATTCGTTATATGCTGTTTCATTGTCTGCCAAAAACTTTAAATAGTCAGCTAAATCCTTTGGAGATTTGAAATCATCAGTCTTGATAATACTCTTCTCTGGTACCCATTCATCTATATTTGGTGATCCCATATAAATAGGTATACTTCCACTCCTATAAATTGTTATATTAATAAAACGTATAATAAGGCCAAAATGAAAACATTATTATGATACTTACAATAATGATGTGTATACTTTTTCTGTTACATAATCTGTAATATTGTTATTTTCAAACGCCAATGAAAATTTGTAAGTTGATAAAACCTTTTCTTTAATTTTTAAAGAGTCACCAAGATCAGCAAATACTTCGTGTGGGAAATCTTTAGAATCCAAGTCCCTATTATGTAAACAACTGCCCAAAGCATCTACTTGCATATGCTTCATCATATCAATGATATAACAGGTACGGTAAATGGCACCTCCACTATTACAATTTGTAGACATAAAACCAACTAGTTTGTTTTTCTTTTTGAATGGTACAGGCTCACGTAAGAAATTACTGATATTTCCACCCTCACCACTACCCCAACTGCAAGCAAAAGTTGATTGTACTTGATCGCTGTGTCTAAATGTATTGTTTATATCCATATGTCTAAGATACCCATTGTGGCCAACTAAGGGAAAATACTTTTCGTGTTCATAGCCAAAATTGATAAACAATTGACCAATCTCTTTTTGTGGGAAATAAGGTGGATCTTTTAAAAATGTATATGACCAACTTGCAAATGGTTGACCTTCAAATAAAATAGCATCAACTTCTGATTGAAAAATTCTATCATTTCTATATAAACAATTAACTGGGCATTTCTTCTTTTTTACATGTTGACCTAAATAATTTGGTAATGTGAAATCCTGTGTTCCATATCCAGCCCATGAAAATCCACTCCATAATAAAACACTTATATTTTTGGTTTCTTCTGCTTTTTTTGTTGTTTTTGTTGTATTTGTTGTATTTGTTGTATATGATCCTGTTGTTGTAGTGTTAACATAATTTATAATTTCATTTTCAAATAATAATATAATTATTGATAATAATAAGAATTTGATTTTATTTATCATTTATTTAATTTTATTTCTAATTTTATTACAAATTATTTTTATAAAAGTTTTATTAATAATTTTATTATTATAAAAAATAATTATTTGAAAAAAACACTATAAAATTTAATTTTTTTAAAAATTAAAAATAATATTACTATATTAGTTATTATTACTATTATAATTATTTGTGCGCAAAATGTTATTTATATATTGTGTTAAGTGATAAAAAATTTTTGATTATTGCACATATTATAACTGTTTGAAACATTTAAAAAAATTTTAAAAAAAAAAAAATAAATTAAATAAAAAAAAAAAAAAAAAAAAAAATATTTTTAAAAATTTTCATTTACAAACACAACCCCCCATAGCACATTATAAAAAACATCTATTTTAAAATGTTAAAAAAAAACAATTACACCCTTTTCAATAAATCAAACAAATGTATATGTATAAATTTATATATTTAATAGCAATAGTTTACTTTATTATAAAAGTAATAATCCAAAATTTTGATATTGTTTTTATATGAAAAATTTATCACATTTAAATAATGATTAAAATTAAAATATATTTATAGAGAAATAACACTTTATATTATTAATCTTTTTCAACCAAATAAAGTGTCAAGGTAATTATTTATTTATAAAAAAAAAAAAAAAAAATTTTATTCTATTATTATAGAATTTTTGTACCCACACTCACACATTTATTAATAAATTAGCACACACAAAACTATTTTGGAAAATAATTTTCATTTAAAAATTCAATTATTATTTTCGTTTCATTTATTTTAATTTTAAATTATATTAAAATTAAAAATCATTAAAAAAAAAAAAAAAAATTGAAAAAAAATTTTTAATAAAAATTTTATAAAAATAAAATAATCATTGTCATTTCATTTTATTTTATAATTAATAACTGGTGGTTTAACAAGTCTCCTATTAAATAAATAATATAGAAATAGGGGAAGAAAAAAAAAAAAAAAAAAAAAAAAAAATTAATCAAAAAATAAATTTGTTTTAAGCCAAATTTTGTGTGTTTGTGTGTTCAAATTATAATAAAATCATAATAAACAAAGAAATAAAAGAAATCATATTAATAGATAAAGATATATCAATCAGGTGTAAGTGTTTAAAAAAAAAAAAGTCAATATATAAACCACGTAGAGAGACCATTAAATTTTAAACAATTTTTTTAATAAAAAAAAATAAAAAAAATAAAAATAAAAACTCAAAAATAATTTTTTTTTTTTAATTAATAAAAATATCAATCTATTTTTATAACAGTATCTCAACTCCCAGAAAAAAAACCTGTAAACCTCTCAGAGTTTTTATAATAATTTTTCTTAAATTTTAAAAAATAGAAAATTTTAATAATAAATACAATTAATTTTAATAATAAAAAAAAGGTGGCATATTAATATTTTTTTTTTTTTTGTTTATTATTTTTCTCAAAAGCTTTGTAAATAATTTCTGTAAATAAAATATATAAATAATTATAAATATCCTAAATATAAATAATAATAAAACCAAAAAAATTATAATAATACTTTTCAAACTAAAACTGTAAAATAATAATAAAATAAAAATAGTCAATCATATATGTATATAAAATAAAATGGTATCATTCGAAAGTTTAATAAATAAAATAAAAAAGAAAAAAAAATTATTACCAAAAAAAATAAATATAGGTAATCATAATAATAATCAACAACAATGCGAAATTAAAAAAAAATGTACAGAAAAAAAGAAATCGAATTGGATATCGACAACCAAATATACTGTTCTTACATTTCTTCCAAAAAATATTATTTTTGAACAAGTAAGTAGAACCATCTATATAATGTTATATAGCACCATTTTTTTTTTTTTCATAAATTTTTATAAAATTTTTTTTTAAAATTTTTATAACTTAAAATTAATTCATTTTTTTTTATTTTACAGTTTAGAAAATTCACAAATTTATATTTCTTAGTTATTTTAATTTTATCATGGATTCCACAAATAACACCAGTTACTCCTGGACCAAGTTCAATTAATTTAGCTATTGTATTATTAATTAACGCTGTAAAGGAAGCATATGAAGATTTTGTAAGTAAATTTATTGTAAAAAAAAAAAAAAAAGAAAAATTTTCTAATATTTTTAATTTTAAATATTTAGCGTCGATACCAAAGTGATAAAAAGATCAATAATCAAATTTGTAAAGTTATAGAAAACAATGTTATAATAGAAAAGTTTTGGAAAGACTTGGGTGAAGGTGATATTGTATTAATTGAAGACGGCCAACAATTCCCAACAGATTTAATAATTTTAGCTAGCTCAGGTGAATCATCTCCAGGCCATTGTTATATAGAAACAAGCAACTTAGATGGCGAAACTAATTTGAAATATAAACAAGCACTATTGGAAACCAATAGTATTTTAGTTGAATCGAATAGCATCGCAACCAATAACACCTCATTAGAATCATTCCAATTTTTTAAAGACAATGAATCAATCATCGAATGTGAAGCACCAAGTGTCAATTTAAATAAATTTGATGGTACTATTCAATTAAAGAATGGAGATATATCAACAAAATATCCATTAACCATCGACCAGCTTTTAGTTAGAGGCACTACTTTAATGTCAACTAAATATATTTATGGATGTGTAATTTATGTAGGCCACGAAACCAAGTACATGATGAATACTATGAAAACCAGTTCAAAAAGATCAAAGTTAGAGCTTACTATGGAAAGAATTTTAATTTATCTTTTGGGCTTTCAACTACTTTTATGTTTATTTTCAACTTTAATGGGAATGAAGGGCGATATTCAATATGGTGACTCTGCTTGGTACCTCCAAATTGAACATAATATCGGGTTTGCAACTTTTCAACGTTATTTCACCTTCTTAATTCTTTTCTCTACAATTATTCCAATTTCATTATACGTAACCATGGAAATTATTAGATTCCTCCAAGTTATCTTTATAAATAAGGATAGAAAGATGTGTCACCGTGAAAATGGAGTAAAAACTTTTGCTTGTGCCAGAACCTCAAATTTAAATGAAGAGCTTGGGATGGTAGAATATATATTTTCTGATAAAACTGGTACTTTAACAAGAAATGAAATGGAGTTTAAAGTTTGTTGTATCAATGGAAAACAATATGGTAGTTTGCCAATTTCGAGCGAAGATATTTTAGAAAATGAAAATTTAGGGAATTCAATTTCAAATGATCAACAAACACCAAATAATATTAATAATAATATTTTTAATAATACCCAGACCGATCTTCGTAGAAGTAATAGTGGTTATTTACATAAAAGTAACAGTAATATTGCAAATTTAAATAATCAAAAAAACCATGTAGAGCTTTCAACATTTACAAATAAAAATTCATCGAAAAGAATTAATATTGATGTAAATATAAAGGAAAATTATGAATTTTTAGTAGCCTTAGCAATTTGTAATACAGTCGTACCAGAACATAGCGATAGTAATAGTATTTCAAGTAGCAGTGTTAGCAATGGTACAATATCTAGTAGTACTGGTAGTAATACTGATAGTTCATCCTCATCAGCATCATCCTCATCCGATAAAATCAAATATTCATCATCGTCTCCAGATGAAACCGCCTTAGTTGAGGCTGCCAGCAATTTAGGTTTCAAACTATATAATAGAACTTCAAACTCAATTACAATAAAAACTCCTCCATCTGAATGCTACCCAAATCAAGAATCTCCATTTAAAACTTTTAGTATTTTAAATGTTATCGAATTCACAAGTAACAGAAAAAAGATGTCAATTATTGTTAAAGATAACACCACAAATGAAATTATTCTCTACTCTAAAGGTGCAGATTCATCTATTTTACCATTAGTCAAGGATGCCAATAATAGCTCAAGTAATAATTTAGTAGGTGAAGTAGATACCATTATGAGCTCAACAATCTCAGATAATATTATGGAAAAGACTAAAGAAAGTTTAAGAGTTTTCTCTGTCAATGGTTTACGTACTTTATGTATTTCCAAAAGAATTTTAACTACCGAAGAATATGGAAAATGGAATGCCGAATATAAAGAAGCCAGTTTATCGATGGAGGATAGAGACGTAAAAATGGAAGAAGCATCAAAATTAATTGAATGCCAACTATCATTAATGGGCGTTACTGCTATCGAAGATAGATTACAAAAAAATGTTAATAATACAATTTCAACACTTTTAAAAGCAGGAATTAAAATTTGGATGCTTACTGGTGATAAACAAGAGACCGCAATTAACATTGGTGTTTCATGTTCATTGTTATCAGATCTAGAGTTATTAATATTGAACGAATCATCGATTGAATCTGTTAGAGCTTCAATTTTAAATTTAATTAATATTATTAATCAAGATAAATATGGAAATAATAACGATACAAATCATAATATTAAGAATAGCTTAGAAGAGCAACAATCATCACAAAATACAACACAACAAACAGATACAAGCTATGATGAATCATTAAGTACAAGTACCAGCTATAAAGGCTGCTCATCAGCTTTGGATGAGTCAAACGAAATTGATCAACAAAGCTTCACAAGTTCAAAAAAGAAAAGTAGCAAAGTAGGACAAGAAAACGATGATAAAAAAGAACAAGGAGAGGAAAAGAAATTTAATTCAGAAAAACAGTTTGGTTTGGTTATAGATGGTAATACTTTGGCTTATATTTTATTATCAAAGGAATGTGAAGATTTATTTTATAAACTTGTAAACCTTTGCAAATCATGTGTATGCTGTCGTGTAACACCTTTCCAAAAGAGTGAAGTAGTTAGAATTGTTAAGGATCGTACAAACTCAATCACACTAGCAATTGGTGATGGCGCAAATGATGTTAGTATGATTCAAAAAGCACATCTTGGTATTGGTATCAGCGGAAAAGAAGGAAGACAAGCCGTTTTAGCAAGTGACTTTTCAATTGCCCAATTTAGATTCCTATCAAGATTATTATTGGTTCACGGTAGATACAATTATAAGAGATTGTGTGTAGTAATCTGTTATTTCTTTTTCAAGAATCTTTTAAGCTGTCTTCTTCAATTTTGGTTCTCTACAAGTAATCTTTTTTCTGGTACAACCTACTATGACTCTTTAAATACAATGTTATTTAATTTAGTTTTCACTTCTTTACCAATCATAGTTTTAGGTGTATTTGAAAGAGATCTCTGTAGTAAATATTTATTAAAACACCCTCAGCTATATCAAGAAACTCAACGTGGAAAATGCTTTAACCATAAGGTATTCTGGAGTTGGATCGTATTATCAATCTATTGCAGCGCAGTAATTTACTTTTTCAGTTCCTATATTTATAATGAAAGTGCAACTGATTGGAGCGGAAAAGTTGGGGGTCTTAGAAATGTTTCAGCCTTTGCTTTTACTTGCCTTGTGTTTATTGTAAACCTACGTCTTGCAATGATTATTCAACACTGGAACTATTTAAATTTCATTTCAATTGGTCTCTCACTCTTTGCTTTCTTTTTAGTCGAATGCATTTATTCGCTTGTCTACTCATTCTTAGGCTATCGTGGTGAATTCTATCATGTTTTCTTAAAAGTTGTAGAACAGCCCATATTTTATACCTCTTTGGTCCTAGTAATATTGGTATGTTTGGTACCACCATTCACTATTAAATATATCCAAAGAAACTATCTCCCAGAACCATTAGATATTATTCAAGAAATTTCAAAATCAACTAAAAAAGAATTAAAAAAGAAAATCATTAATGTATAAACAATTCAATAATAACAATGTATATAAAGTAAACTATTTTCAAAAAAAAAAAAAAAAAAAAAAAGAAAAAAAAGAAAATATTAATTTATTGTTTTTTTTTTTTTTTTTTTAATTTATTTATTTATTTATTTATTAATTGGTTTAAAGTATTTTAAATAAAATATAAATTTAAAACTATAAAAAAATCCATATAATGTTTTATCTATTTCTTTAAATGATCTAAATAGTTTATGAAATTTTCTGTTTTTAATTGATTTTCGTGTGTATATAATTTTGAAATAGAATCATCATACTTTATAGTTGCAGGTGGAATAAGCTTATTGTCATTATTGGATTTTAAATCCAATGGCTTATTATCTTTTTTAAACTCGGATCTATCTTTGTAAAGACAAATACCCATTAAGCCTTTAGAGATAACCATATCTGTTAATTTTGAAATAAATTCTTCATTGACAAAGGTTATACAATTTTCTACATTTGCATATTGGGCATTGATTGGTTCGAATGAGTTAATTGTTGGAACAATGAATGATTTGCTTTTAACTTGGTTAATATCATTAGTTCCAAAAAGTGATTTTAAAACATTAATAGAGTTGACTCCATATGGATGATCACCAAAAGGTGCATCGACTATAGCTTCAAAAATATTTGATTTTGATTCGTTAAATTCATTTGGATTTAAAGATGATGTTAAAAATCCAACAGAGCATGGTCTTTGATATTTAGTATCGTCTTTGAAATGGTCTAGATACTTCTTTTCCCAAGTATGAACAAAGAGGGTATTTAAGCCAAAGAGGTCACAAGGAAAGCTAAGCTGATATTCTAATCTTAATGAGTCACCTTGGTATTGCTTATGTTGTTCATTGATTTCTTTATAAGCTCTACCGAGAATTAAAATTAAGCCTGGGTATTGATTTAATTGGTCTTCAATATCCCATATTAAAAGATTAAAGAGTGAGTGCATTTTGAGAATAAATTGTTTAAATTGTTTATAATCATCATTGGATGGACTGCAGTAGTTTTCGATAAATTTCAATGGGTCTTGATCCATTATATGAAATGCATGATGGTCAAATCCTGGTAAATCGCAGAATGGAACCGACTCAAATACAGATGCGGCACTGAGACACTTGTGTTGGTTCAAATGGAATTTAATATCTCTAAAGTTTTGATAAAATAATTGAGACTGAACATCATCATCTTGGTTTGAAATAATTTGAACTGAGGTATTTTGTGGGGATGAATAAAGGGAAATTTTAATACCTCCAGGTAAAAGTATCCCATAGTCATTTGGGAACTTGTTTAAACTTGTAACAGTATCTTTAGAGCCTTTACCAATACCAAAGCCAGAAAAAACTACAAAATTAATTTTATTTTTTAAGTCGCCAACTCTCATTGAAATTGGTTCGTACAAACTGTCACCAACGGGGCCGCTATATACATCAATATCCTTGCTACTTCTTTCTGCTTCTATTAACTTTTCTTGTGATCCATTACTTTTTAAAATAACTTGTTTACTAATATCAATATAAAATTGACAGTTTTTTATCCACTTACCTTCTACTTTTCCAAATGTATTATAATCTGATCCATCAATATTGATATAGTATCCTGAAATTTGAAGTTTTTCCATTTTAATTATTAGTTAAAAAATATTAATTTTATTATTATTAAAAATGAATATAAAAAAAATTTAAATAAATAAAAAAATTAAAAATTAAAAAAAAAAAAATTCAATGTTCACCCCCATTTATAATAAATAAAAATTCAAAAAAAAATAAAATTAAAAATTAAAAATTAAATTTAAATATAATTTTAATATTTTTAAATTTAAAGAAAACACAAAAAGGACAAACAAAATCTTAATCAAAAAAACAATAAATAACGTGCAAAGGAATCACAAAAAAATCAAGAAAATAAATAGAGTTCGACAATTATCGTTTCCGTTTATCTTTTTTTAAATAACCGGGAAGAAATTATCCAAAAATGAATATTTTTTTCGAAAAAAATTAAAAATAGATAAAAGTGGATAATAAAATTAAAAAAAGATAAAAAAAGGATAATAATTTATAAAAAAAAAAAAAATAGAATTGTTATAAAAAAATTCAGAAAACCTAATGTTGATGCAATCTAGTTATTTTTTGGGTCTATTTTATATTTATATTTATAATAATTTACTATTATAAAAAAAAATAATAGTAAAAAATAATTCTATGGTGATAACAAAAAAATAAAAACAACTTTTTTTTTATTTTATTAAAAATATAAAATCATATTTTTATTTTTTATAATATGATTTATATTTTTTTTTTTAAAAAATATTATATTGTCATTTTATTATTGAAGAGGTGTGAGTAAAAGACTCTTATTAATATGGTTTTGTGAAGATTTTTGAAAGGAAAATAAAAAAAATATAATAATCAATAAAATGAAAAAAATTTAAAAATTTAAATTTAAATTCAAAAAAAAAAAAAAAAAGCGCCCATAATAATTACAAAAAAATTAAAAAAAAAAAAAAAAAATGGTTAAAAAAAATAGAAAATTTTTTTTTAAAAAATAAAAAAAAAAAGGGAGGAAAAGAAACAAACTATGATGTGCGTATTTGAACTGTTATTTTGGATTTATTGGCAAATTTTAAAAGTGGATAAAAATGAATAATTTTTTTTAAAAAAAAGATAAAAAAGAGATAATATTTTATTAAGAAGTGGATAATGAACACGATAACGATAATCGGTAAAAATGGAGATAACGATAATTTTAGAACTCTAAAAATAAAAGAGGTATAAAAAAAAATGAAAGAAAAGTAAAAATAAAATTATTTTTTTATATTAAAATTATCATTTTTTATTTTTAATATTATTGAAAAAATTATTTTGATTAGTATGGTCTAATTCCCCATTTCATAAATTTTTGAATTAAAGTTTGTTAATGACTGTAAATTTCAATTTCCTTATTTTTCTTAATGGGCTTGATAAAATACTAGCTTTTTAACCAATAAGTGTTTTTGCCAATCTTAAACACTTAATTTCAAAATCAGAATCTAGTCCCTCTTCAACTATAACTTTACATTTGTAACACTCCATATTTTGTCTATATAGAGTTCTTTTTGTGTTGTTATTGGAGCTGTAGGTGGTGTTGTTAGATTGGAATTGTTGAAATTCTATTTCGACTAACCTTCTAATAATATCTCTTTGCTCATCTCGATTTGGTGATTGAATTCTGTTAAATCTATTCTCCAATTAATTTAAAAATCTTATTCTTTCTGAATTTTCCACATTTAAATAAATATTATAACTATTATTAATTATGTAATTATTTTGCAAAGTTATTATTTTTTTAAAAAAATAGTAGAATTAAATAAAAAAAAGAATTTAAAAAGTTATTGATTGAAATAAAAGAAAAGAAAAGAAAAGAAAAGAAAAGAAAGAAAGAAAGAAAAGAAAGAAAGAAAAGAAAAGAAAGAAAGAAAGAAAAGAAAAAAAAAAAAAAAAAAAAAATTATTAA